CGCCACGCTCTCCGACCCTGGCACGCATAGAAGCCGCGGTGAGGGACCACCCCGTGCGCACCCCTCTGGTATGGAGAAAATGCAAAGGCTGCCACGCTCTCCACCCCTGGCACGCATGGAGGCCGCGCTGAGGGATCCCCCCTGTGCACCCCCTCTGGTGTCGAGAAAATGCCACGCCTGCCACGCTTGCCGACCCTGGCACGCATAGACACCGCGCTGAGGGACCACCCCCTGTGCACCTTCGCTGGTGTCGAGAAAATGTGCCACCCCTGCCACGCTCTCCGACCCTGGCACGCACAGAGACCGCGCTGAGGGGCCACCCCCTGCGCACCCTCTCTGGTGTCGAGAAAGTACCACACCTGCTACGCTTTCCGACCCTGGCACGCATAGAGACCGCGCTGAGGGACCACCCCCTGCGCACCCTCTCTGGTGTCGAGAAAGTGCCACCCGTGCCACGCTCTCCGACCCTGGCACGCATAGAGACCGCGCTGAGGGACCACCCCCTGCGCACCCTCCTTGGTGTCGAGAAAGTGTCACACCTTCCACGCTCTCCGGCCCTGGCACGCAGAGAGACCGCGCTGAGGGACCACCCCCTGCGCACCCTCGCTGGTGTCGGGAAAGTGCCACCCCTGCCACGCTCTCCGACCCTGGCACGCACAGAGACCGCGCTGACTTGCGCACCCTCTCTGGTGTCTGCACCCCTGCCACGCTCTCCGACCCTGGCACGCATAGAGACCGCGCTGAGGGACCACCCCCTGCGCACCCTCTCTGGTGTCGAGAAAGTGCCACCCCTGCCACGCTCTCCGACCCTGGCACGCATAGAGACCGCGCTGAGGGACCACCCCCTGCGCACCCTCTCTGGTGTCGAGAAAGTGCCACCCCTGCCACGCTCTCCGACCCTGGCACGCATAGAGACCGCGCTGAGGGACCACCCCTGCGCACCCTCTCTGGTGTCGAGAAAGTGCCACCCCTGCCACGCTCCCCGACCCTGGCGCAGAAGTGCCACCCCTGCCACGCTCCACCCCCTGCGCACCCTCTCTGGTGTCGAGAAAGTGCCACCCCTGCCACGCTCTCCGACCCTGGCACGCATAGAGACCGCGCTGAGGGACCACCCCCTGCGCACCCTCTCTGGTGTCGAGAAAGTGCCACCCCTGCCACGCTCTCCGACCCTGGCACGCATAGAGACCGCGCTGAGGGACCACCCCCTGCGCACCCTCTCTGGTGTCGAGAAAGTGCCACCCCTGCCACGCTCTCCGACCCTGGCACGCATAGAGACCGCGCTGAGGGACCACCCCCTGCGCACCCTCTCTGGTGTCGAGAAAGTGCCACCCCTGCCACGCTCTCCGACCCTGGCACGCATAGAGACCGCGCTGAGGGACCACCCCCTGCGCACCCTCTCTGGTGTCGAGAAAGTGCCACCCCTGCCACGCTCTCCGACCCTGGCACGCATAGAGACCGCGCTGAGGGACCACCCCCTGCGCACCCTCTCTGGTGTATAGAAAATGCCACCCCTGCCACGCTCTGCCGTGCCGTGCCCTGCGCGCCAGCCCTGTGTGCTATGCTGTGCTGTGCTGTGATGTGCTGCTGTGCGGTGAGCTGTGCTGTGCTGTGCCGTGCTGCGGTGAGCTGTGCTCTGCTGTGCTGTGCTGTGCTGTGCTGAGCTGAGCTGAGCTGAGCTGTGCTCAGCTGTGCCGTGCTGAGCTGAGCTGAGCTGAGCTGTACTGAGCAGTGCTGCGCGGAGGAGGGGAAGAGCGAGGTGCGTGAAAGAGAGAGAGAGAGAGAGAGAGAGAGAGAGAGAGAGAGACGGAGAGGGAGGTGCGCGGGCGAGACGCGGGCGCGGCGCGGCAGGGAAGAAAACCAAAACCCCACGAAGCATGCGGGGAAGAAAACCAGAACCCCACGAAGGGCCCCCACCCCCAGCGCACCCCCTGTGGCGCCGAGGAAATGCCACGCCTGCTAGGCCCTGCGACATCGGCGCGTATAGAGACCGCGGTGGGCCCCCACCCCCAGCGCACCCCCTGTGGCGCCGAGGAAACGCCACTCCTGCTAGGCCCTGCGACATTGGCGCGTATAGAGACCGCGGTGGGCCTCCACCCCCAGCGCACCTCCTTTGGCGACGAGGAAATGCCACTCCTGCTAGGCCCTGCGACATTGGCGCGTATAGAGACCGCGGTGGGCCCCCACCCCCAGCGCACCCCCTTTGGCGTCGAGGAAATGCCACTCCTGCTAGGCCCTGCGACATTGGCGCGTATAGAGACCGCGGTGGGCCCCCACCCCCAGCGCACCCCCTGTGGCGTCGAGGAAGTGCCACGCCTGCTAGGCCCTGCGACATTGGCGCGTATAGAGACCGCGGTGGGCCCCCACCCCCAGCGCACCCCCTGTGGCGCCGAGGAAAGCCACTCCTGCTAGGCCCTGCGACATTGGCGCGTATAGAGACCGCGGTGGGCCCCCACCCCCAGCGCACCCCTGGCGTCGAGGCCACTCCTGCTAGGCCCTGCGACATTGGCGCGTATAGAGACCGCGGTGGGCCCCCACCCCCAGCGCACCCCCTGTGGCGTCGAGGAAATGCCACGCCTGCTAGGCCCTGCGACATTGGCGCGTATAGAGACCGCGGTGGGCCCCCACCCCCAGCGCACCCCCTGTGGCGTCGAGGAAATGCCACTCCTGCTAGGCCCTGCGACATTGGCGCGTATAGAGACCGCGGTGGGCCCCCACCCCCAGCGCACCCCCTGCGGCGTCGAGGAAGTGCCACGCCTGCTAGGCCCTGCGACATTGGCGCGTATAGAGACCGCGGTGGGCCCCCACCCCCAGCGCACCCCCTGTGGCGTCGAGAAAGTGCCACGCCTGCTAGGTCCTGCGACATTGGCGCATATAGAGACCGCGGTGGGCCCCCACCCCCAGCGCACCCCTTTTGGCGTCGAGGAAATGCCACTCCTGCTAGGCCCTGCAACATTGGCGCGTATAGAGACCGCGGTGGGCCCCCACCCCCAGCGCACCCCCTGCGCACCCTCTCTGGTGTCGAGAAAGTGCCACCCCTGCCACGCTCTCCGACCCTGGCACGCATAGAGACCGCGCTGAGGGACCACCCCCTGCGCACCCTCTCTGGTGTCGAGAAAATGCTACCCCTGCCACGCTCTCCGACCCTGGCACGCATAGAGATCGCGCTGAGGGACCACCCCCTGCGCACCCTCTCTGGTGCCGGGAAAATGCCACCCCTGCTACGCTCTGCCGTGCCGTGCCCTGCGCGCCAGCCCTGTGTGCTGTGCTGTGCTGTGCTGTGCTGTGCTGTGCTGCGCTGTGCTGTGCTGTGCTGTGCTGCTGTGCGGTGAGCTGTGCTGTGCTGTGCCGTGATGCGGTGAGCTGTGCTCTGCTGCGCTGTGCTGAGTTGAGCTGTGCTGAGCTGAGCTGCGAGGAGGAGGGGAAGAGTGAGGCGCGTGAGAGAGAGGGGGGGAGACAAAAAAAAGAGAGAGAGAGAGAGAGAGAGAGAGAGAGAGAGAGAGAGAGAGAGAGAGAGAGAGAGAGAGAGAGAGAGAGAGAGAGAGACGGAGAGTGAGGCGCGCGGGCGAGACGCGGGCGCGGCGCGGCAGGGAAGAAAACCAGAACCCCACGAAGCATGCGGGAATAAACCTAGGCAACTGCGCACTCTGAATGCAAGCGCCTAGCTTGGCGAAGCACTGCAAATTTCCCCCTGCAAGCCCGACATATGGATGGGCGTAGAAGATGATAGCGATAATCGGAAAACCTGCCACGTGCAAGACGACTGGAAGGAAGCCATCGAGGGCACCTGAGCCCTCTGCACAAAAACTGGGCACAGAGGGCGCCTTCGGAATCACTCTGCGCGCGCGACGATGGCCCTGGCACATGAAGAGCTCCCCACCCTCGTTGGCATTACCCACTGTGGCCGCCGAGGTCGCCCTCCCTGTAGCACGGGCAGGGTTGTTCATGAACCTCCACTCCACCCGCCTAGCACTCCGCCCCCGCTTCGAACGAGCGCGGCATCCAGCATGGGTCCCCGTCAAAGCTACGCACTGGCACTGACTGGCGAATGCTGGCGCGCTGACACGGCTCCAAGCTTCAGGGCCTAAGCAGGTCACACTCGCGAAAAAGCATGCTGCACAGGCTAGGCTCATCTCCAGCGTCACTCACACCAGCTACGGCTGGCGGCCCCCGCGGCTCGGCGGGCGAGCTGGCCGCCGGCCCCTCGCCCGCCGCGCGGGCTCACGCGCCTGCAGCGGCGGCCGCCTGCGGCACAGCGTCGGCGCCCGCCTCCGCCCCTGCCGCCGCGGCCGCGCGCAGCTGGTCGATCTCAGCCTTGATCTGCTCCTGGGAAGGGCTCTGCGCGCCGCCAAGAGCCTGAGCCGCGGTCGCCGAAGCTGGGCCTGAGGGGGCCGCCGCCGCGGAGCCGCCAGGCGTCGCAGCAGCTGGAGACGCTCCTCCTGCCGCCGCGGGCTGGCTAGCCCCTGGCGCTCCCGCGCCTGGCGCTGCGGCCCCCTTAGAGGCGCCCTCGCCGTCGGCGCGCCGCTTCTTCGCCATGCGCTCCTGCACCTGCTTGCGCAACTCTCTGGCCCTGTCCCGCCACTGCGAGACCCGCTCCGCCTTGGATTGCACGCTCTCCTCGGCGGCCTGCAACTCTTGCTCAATCTTTTTCAACTCTGACTTTTCCTCGGCACTGCACTCAAGGTCATCGACGTTGCTGAAGAAACTGGTGTCCCAGGACAGGTCGATGAGCGGCACGCCAGGCGCTGCAGCAGGCTCTGGGGCGATCCCCGTGGCCTTCGCCAGCAGCGCCGCCGCCGCGCTGCGCCTGCTGATCTCCGCCAGCGCCAGCGTGCGCGCCGTCTCCTCCTCGTGCTCGCGAGCACGCTGAGGTTGAGCGCACACCGCTCGACCTGAGCACGGGCCTGCTCCCACTTGGCGGAGGCGCCTCGCCAGGCGCTAGACGCCAGGCGGACCACCTCCTCGGCAGGCACGCTCTTGGGCGAGGTCGCCGCCGCTCGCGCCTGCCCCAGCTGCTGCTCCAGGATGACCTTCACCGACGGGTCCTGCACGACTCTCAGGGCGGCCTCCAGCGTCGCGATGGCGTTGGGGGCAGCCCCCACAGCTCCTCGCAAGTGGGTTCCCCCCTGCTCACCGCCCTTGTCCTTAGCCTTCGGCTTGAACAGGGTGAGTTTGATCCCGCACGTGCCGCACTTCGCTCCTTGACTAGCGAGGATACAGTCCCATTTACATTTCCCACAGCCTGAGCACTTGGTCCAAGGGTCCGCCGCCGCTGTCGTGGCGAACTGCTGCTGCTCTGCGGAGGTTTTATTGTTACCCTTGCCGCCCATGGCTGTGAACTGTACGCATCCCTTTGGCCAACCCGCGAAACTGACCGAAATGTTCTGAGGGTGGGACTGGTCAGTCGCGGGTGCCACTCAAGCACCACGTACGAGGCGGACGCCTTTGCCCCGGCAAAATGCTCGGGCCAAAGTGGTTTGAGAGGAGGAGGAGGAGGAGGAGGAGGAGGAGGAGGAGGAGGAGGAGGAGGAGCAGCAGAAGCGGCAGCGACAACGGCAGCGGAAACGGCAGCGACAGCGGCAGCGGCTGCGGCAGCCGCAGCGGCGGCGGCAGCCGCAGCGGCAGCGGCGGCGGCAGCCGCAGCGGCGGCGGCAGCGGCGGCGAAAAAAACGGGAGGCATTTTTCTCGCTGCCCAGCCGCGCGGAGGCTCCCCACCCCCAGCGGGCCGCCCATCCCACGTATGCGCGCGGGCCCCACGCCGAATGGCGGGCGGTGCGGCCAGCGGGCTGCCCACCCGCATTCGGGCCTGCCCCGCCCGCGGCAGGCGGAGTCGAGACACGTTCTGCTCCTGCTGTGGCTGCTGCTGCTCCTCCTCCTCCTTCCTCCTCCTCCTCCTCCTCCTCCGCCTCCTCCTCCTCCTCCGAAGTCCCTCTTCCAGATAAATGGCTCATCCCTGTCGCACCATCAGACGTGTCGTTAGAGCGGCCTGGCCGGTTCGCTTTGGACTCTCCCACCGCGCACTACCCTAGCTTGAAATTTGAAAAACTCCAGCAGTTACGCTGATGGAGAATGGGTCGCTTTCAAAATGCGGATGTCGCCTTGACGTCGCGCGCACTCGTCGTTGGTTACGCTACACGAATGGAGGACGAATCGTTGTTTAAATGAGCTTCTCGCCTTGGTGCCGCGTGTACATGTCTGAAACAAAGACGGCCGTTACGCGGCTCGTCTTTTCAATGAGGTTATCGCCTTGTCGCTATACACACACTGTCTTAACATCCAAAATGCGGATGGAGGGCTGTCGGCTTCAAAATAGAACTGCGTTCGAAGTAACAAAGTTGTGCAAAAGCTCCTCGGGTGGAGGGCGACTCCATTTTTTCCAGATAAGGTGATCGACTCATGCCGCTGTACGTAGCATGACCAGGAGCGTATACACTCACCGCAGAAACTGTGTAGCAGACGCACTCGTGGCGGGCGATACCTTCTGAATGCGGAGCTGTCGATGAAAATCGCCCTGAAACGTTTGTGGCCCAACCGTGTCCCACCGGATATCAAAGATGACGGAGGGCAGTCCCAGCCCGCATTGCGGGGTCACGGGCCCCTGTCGGTCACGGGGGCGCGTTGCGCAATGAGCAAGAAAGCTTGCAAGGACTTAACTATGAGGAGGGAACCTGGGACAGGAAGGTGCGTTGCAGCACTGATGATACAAAACTGAATGTAACGTGGCCCCTCTTCCTCCCTGTTCCTCTACGGATTCCTCCTTCTGTACCTCCGTCCTCCTCATTCTCCTCAGGTAATTGCCATCACCAACACCATTATCGGCACCGCCATCAGGATCGTCATCATCAGCAGCAGCAGCATCATCACAATCATTAGCATCATCATCACCAGCAGCAGCAGCATCAACATCATCAGCATCATCATCGTCGCCATCATCGTCATAGCATCACCGATAAGCAGAATCATCGTCATCATCAGCATCATCACCACCACCATCATCAGCATCATCGTCCTCATCATCGTCGTCGTCGCCGTCATCATCCTTATCAGCAGCATTATCATCATCGTCATCATCATCATCACCACCACCACCAGCAGCATCATCGTCGTCGTTCCTCGCTCTTCGCACCCTGTTCCTTGCTCCCCGCTCCTCCTCATCATCCCCCTCCCCCTTCCCCTGGTGTTATCGCATCCTGCTGCCTCAGCTGCAAGAAAAGCGACTGACGCTTCCAACGATCTCCTTGCTGACCCTCCCCTTCCTCCGCCTCCCTGTCCTCTGCCAAGCCCGAGCCGTGGCCGCAGCCATATTGCCCCCTTTCGGCGACACTGGCTTCGGGTGCGGGCTCGTGCCCGCCGCCGGCGAACATAGCAGTTCGCAGTGGCGACCGCGACCTAGGCTGCAGGCGGCCCACAGGTTGCCGACGCCTCCGCCACCACCCAGCGCAGGACCTCCCCACCCTGTGGGCCGAGCAGCGAGCGCGCCTGCTCCGCCGCCGCCTCCGCTTGTCTTCGGCGATGCGACGCGGACAGGCCATTAGTATCCCAGGCTTCCACTTCCGCTGCCGCCCCTGCCCAGTGGCCCTCCTGCAGCGGGGTCGCCAAGGCCCCATGCGTGGCCGCCGCCTCCCATGGTGCTTCCCCCAGGGCCGACACCAAAGGAGACGCTGGGCCTAAGGCAGCCTTAGGAGGCAGCAGCGATTGCAGTCGATAGGCTGCGTGCTCAAGGCGGCGTCATGCAACAGAACGCCATCCGCCACCCTTGTCTTTTAGGGGGGAGACAGATCCTGTACCACCTGTGGTTCAACGTCGCAGCCGCTGGAGCAGAGCCCCGCACACACCTTCGACAGGACGCCCGTCTTGCTCGAGATCGAGTTCGGCAACCATCTGTGTTAAAGACTCTGAGCCTCTTGCGGCAGGCATTCGAGCTCCTAGGTCGGTCAGTTGCGATCGGTCCCCAGCATCTTTCCCTGCCTCTGCTTCCATGGGACGCCCCCGTACCCGCTCCAGGATCACCGCCACTAAACCCCATCTGCGGTGGCACAATCAGCATCGGTGTCTCCATTCTGCTCAAAATTCTGCGCGCTCCATTGGCAGCATTGCCCGGCATCTTACAGCATCCGACGATCTTCACCAGGATGCTACTAATTCTCCGAGCTTGCAAACCACAGCGAAAGCACCTGCCCTCCACATGATTATCCTTCGCCCCGTGCTTAATCTGACGACAGCGTCGGCCTCACGCCCGCTGTTGAGGAGCGTACTAAGCAACTCCTCAGTCCTTTACACACGGACGTGCGTTCTGTTAAGTTCGCTGGGATCATGTATGTTCCATATCATTGTGGGTCTCCCCCCATTCTCTCTCCGTGTTTTACAGTTCGGAGATGGATTCGAGGTTTCTCTGTTCAGCTGCTCGTCAGCTCTCACTCATTCTTACACGCACCTCCTCCTTGCGAAATTTACCTGACTAGCTTGTTGGGTTTCAGGCATGCAGGTACCAAATCTCGCCTGCTGATCTGGCCATCTCATCGTGGGGCGCCCCCATTCGCCTTCCCCTGTGCAAAATTGCCGTTCCTGTCGCTTGCTTCCTTACCCCCGCGCGCGCGACGGTCGTTCGCATGCAAGACAGTCAGGTTGCCACTGCACACTCGCGGCAGCTTTGTGGAGGCGGGGGGGGGCACGATCGGTTGTAGCTCGGTGAAGGTTCCCAACGAACCGCTCGAAACCTTCGAGCAAGATCGCCGTCTTGTGCATGCTGCTGCCAGGCTTACTTCTTCCTGGCGCAGGTTGCTCAAGTCCTGCCAGGGCCAACCACCTCCGCATGCCGGCAGTACCGTCGGACGAGGCCCTGGCTGGGCGCGAGCAAGGGCAGTAGATGGGCTGGGGTAGAGGTGGCGCGTAGCGCTGCCTCTCCTCTGACCGCCTGGTTGTGCGGCTCTGCCTGTGCGGGAGAGAACCGTGGTCCAGGCTGTGGCCACACCTGCCTCCCACCCTTTCTCCCCGCAGATGAGGTGTCATGTCTGACCAGCTTGGCTGTATGCCGTCTAGTTGTGTAGTCTGCAGAATGTCCTCGCGCTAGCCGTCCCCTTCCTATCTTGTGCTCCCATGCCCACCCAAACGACGTTCGAATGCATGCAGGACAGTCGGGTTGCCATGCACAGCATGCGACAGCTTTGTGAAGGTGGGGAGGAAACGTTGGGTGCGAGTTTGTCCAGTCTTCCTTTCGTGGGACGCCCCTGCCCTTGCTCCTCGCATGGGGGCTGGTTGCTGTAATTGGCGTCCCACAGCACTGACTCGCGTTTGTTCGGTCAACCAGAAGCTTCCAATAGTAGTTCTCACAATGCCTGCCCGGTCTGCTGTATTTCGCTAAGTACCTGTGCCTCGGGCCCGCTCACCATGGGTAGCCCCCAGTCGACTTCTCCTGTGTTCCTGTTCCTCTCCCCTTCGGGACCCTCGCCTCACCCACAAGACCTTCGTATGCAGCTAGGGCAGCAGTACGGTTGCTATGGCACTGCCTACGACGGCTTCATAAAGGTAGGGGGGACCGGTACCGTGGGATGTGCTGCCAGTCTATGCGGTGGGGGCGGTTCTCGCCACCCCAACCTGTCAGTGTGTTTCGATTTACCGTGATGCCGTCCTTGCATCCTCTTCCTTTTCCTTCATCTCCCCTGCGTGTCCGCAGACAGTGTGCAATTCAGACATGCAGATTGCGGACACAGGCTCAGGGCTTCAACAATACCCTCTTGCACCTCACGCATATCGGGCGGGAAGTCATATCAGGTTGATGGGGGCGTCGCTGCGCCATAGCCTTGGCATTGCCACTTATGTCTTCCCTCCCTGCCTTATTACCCCTCTTCCTCCGCCACGCCCTCGCCTGCATCCGTTGGCTGTGGATGCCTTGTACGACCAGCCAGCTCGCCGTGCACAAGGAGGTGGGGGGAGGCGCAGGGAAGATGTGTACTATCAGTCGAACTCTCTGTGCGGCCCTCTTGTGGCCACAGCTTTATGTTTTGTCGTGCATGAATTATGGGGCCTGCTTGCGGCCCAAACTCCAGCCCCTTCGGGACTCGCCTCGACTGTCGCTTCCCATGGGCGCGGCACCCGCCCAGCAGTTGTGACCTGCGACTCGCGCCCTCGAAGAGGACCGAACCGAGCCCTGGCCTCTGCACGACCATGCGAGGACTCGAATGCGCAGTGGGTCCCGATGCTTTGCCCCAGCTCTAAGGCCAGGATTGTTGCTCGCGGAGTCGGCAGCGACATCTGGCCCCCCCCCCGCTCCTCACAGAGCCAGCCTTCGACACACACCGTACACCGCAGGGGTTGTGCCTGCTCATCTCCGTCCTCTTGTTTCGTTCCCCCATCCAGCAAGCGCTGCCGGCATTTTATGGGGGCATGGTTTACGTGTGGAGGGAGATTGTTGGACCGGTGAACTTGCGGCAGGGGTACAGCTGGTCTATGCCCTCGCCCGCTTCTCCCGTTCTTCTCGCCCTGTCCAGTTCTTCCGGCTGTCGTCGGATATGATAAGACCTCTCTTTTCACGCCCGCTCCTTCCCCCTTGCCTGGCTCTCAACATGGAGGCCTCCTGCCTCCTCGGTGGGTCCGAGTAGATGGGGTCGGGAGCTCGCGCCGCATCGCCGATACATCTGCGATGCAAGGCCGATGCAGCGCCGATGCATCGGCGACGTCGGCGATGCATCAGCGCCGTCGAGGTGGAGGAAATCGGGCTCCACATCGAGCCGCATCGCCGATGCATCGGCGATGCGGCACGACCCTCCGACCCCATCTACTCGCACCCCATCTGGAAGGTCTAGAACGCAGGCCCTCCTGGCCCGATCCTCTGGTGTCCGGACGGTGCCGCCGTCGCGGGTCGGATGTTGAGCATCGGCTGCCCCGCGGAGCGCTGCCTCGACGGCGTGCGAGGGGCGGCCCTCGCGCGCGCCGCCCAGAGCAGGAAGTGGCTCCTGCTCCCTTTGGCCTCGCGGGCGGCTGGCTCCCCCCTCTCTCTCTCTCTCTCTCTCTCTCTCTCTCTTTTTCCATGAGCCCTTCACTCGCTCTCTCTCTCTCTCTCTCTCTCTCTCTATGAGCCTCTCTGTTTCTCTTTTCCTCCTTATCTTTTCCTCATGGGCCTCCTTCGCCTCCTCCTCTCCTCGCCTCTGTCCAGGTGGTGGCTGGGGCGTGGGCGGTTCGACGCGCGATCGGGTTGCGATTGCCACCAGCACTTGCCCACCCCCCCGAGAACAAAGGGCCCGTTTGGGGTGAAGCGCCAGACCTCTGGCCTGGCCCCGTTTCGTAAGTGCTGCCCTCCATGTTCGTTGCAAACTTCCCGTCGCTCGGCGCAGCTGGAAACATGCACCTCCGACTTGTCGTCATCGTTCCCCCCTTCCCCCTCTTCATCGTCATCACCATCATCATCACCATCATCATCGGCATCATCATCGGCATCATCATCATCATCATCATCATCAGCATCAGCATCAGCATCAGCATCATCATCATCATCATCATCATCATCAGCATCATCATCAACATCAGCATCAGCATCAGCATCCTCATGATCACCACCATCATCAACATCACAATCAGCATGACAATCGTCATCCCCATCACCACCATCATCACAAGCATCACCACCCTCCGCCACCACCACCCCCACCACCATCATCATCGACAACATCATCATCGTCATCACATTCAACATAATTTCCAACATCACCATCATCATCGTCATCACCATCATCATCACAACCAGCATCACCATCACAATCAACATCATCATCATCATCAGCAGCAGCAGCATCAGCATCAGCATCAGCATCAGCATCATCATCAGCATCAGCATGCGCATCATCATCATCATCATCATCATCATCATCATCATCATCATCATCATCATCATCATCATCATCATCATCATCACCGCCGTGACCATCACCATCATGGCGTCCCTTTTTACGGCAGACGCGCGCTCAATCGCCATGCGTGTGTGCGATGGCGCCAGGTTCAGCCCGATTCATGTCGCAGGCTGGCAGGGACCCCAACGTCCCAGCGCCCCACAGCAGGAAAACACTGACCCACACCATATCTACGTACAGCCCAACTCACGCGCCCGCCAAGGGACCGTGAGGCACCCTTGACCCACGGACACATTCGGTCACAATGGATAACCCACGGACACAGAAGTTCTGCAATGGGCAGCAAGGGGGGGGGGCATCCCCCAAGGATGTTCTCGGGAGCCCTCGGGATCAAAGCCTGCCCCACCTGCGGCGGGGTGGTCAGGGGCCCACTGAACCACGGGGCCAACGCGGCCCTCCAGGGCCAGTCTCTGAGACCACCGAACCACATTCCACCGCTCCCACCGCTTATTCCTGGCTGACAAGCCGCACAATCACTCCAGGAAGCGCCCAAGCAAGGGCGACACCGCTACGCTTTGGGACCAGTCCTTCATATTGGCTGGAGAACCTCCACATACCGCCGATCTGGCCAACTCGCCGCCTAAACAGCTTTAGCCCTGAGCATCTGGACAGATTCCAACTCCTTGGATTACATCTCATGTTCCTGCAATTTCACCAACGCGTCAGTGATGTAGACCCAGGCGGTACTGAGGTTGGCCCATCGCTCGCGCAGGGCAGCACTGCTGATATCTCCCAAGGCTCGACACAATGATGAGTGGCCCCTTCCACGCCTGAGACTGCATGGCTTGAAACCAAAAGACGAGAGGCCCACGACACGCAGGGCCCCATAGAAGAGACTGTGGAAGGCCTGCGGGGTCTTAGCCACCAACGGGCCCCCAAAGAAAAGCCCCGCGAATACCGTAGAGAGCCAACGGAGTTGTTTAGTGTTATCGACGCTCACCATATCGTCCTGCTTCATCCTCTGCCAGTTTATGGTGAGTTAAAGAGCGATTATGCCACTTGTTCCGCTCCTGACATTCGTGGCGTCTCCTTTCCGAACCGCCATGAGCTCACCACTTCGCAACACGCCGCAAAAGCGAACGGCCACTGCGAGCACGAGTCGCGGGCACCCCGCGTCGAGCATTACGCTGGCAACCGCCAGCACCGCCCGTTGCGTCATCGGCGGAGCCCGCCCGCTCTGGCAGCTCCAGCTGTTCCCAAGCCGACTTGAGGCGCCAAGCGGCAGGCAAGTGGCGCCTGCCTCCTGGGACACAGGGCTGCACTGCGACGAGGGCGTACGCTGCCCATCATTTAGACCCTCTTTCTCTCCACAGATGCTCGATGTATTCTGCGCGCAGCTGATCCAGCTGCTCAAAACTAGGGAGTAATGGCTTCTCGGGCTTGCCTGACGCCCAACTACTAATTTCGATGGTTTACCGATGCAGCAAGCTCGGAGCATCGTTGCTGAACGCTCCCAGTAATGTTGTTGTCGCGTAGCTTGCCGGTTTCTGCCCACGTGGCCTTGCTCGCCACCCTCGCGCGAGTGGCGCTTATCGCCTTCAGCCTCTAAGGACCCATGGTGCACGACTGGGAGCGTCGGCGGGGTTGTTCGCCGCGTTGGTATACACGAAGAACGAGGCGCTGAAAGTCGCGTGGCGGAGGGCATTGAGGCAGCAGGGCACGGCATTTAGCTCACGCGAAGACGAGCGGCCCCTCGCGGCATCGGCCCGCGAGCCCACGAACACGCACACCCTCGAGCCGAGGGCCTGGAAGTGACGCATTCTCCACCAACACAAAGCGTTGTGCACCATCTTGAGCTCCAACTCATTGATGCGACGAGGGCTGTGGAACTCCTTAGCCACCGCGTGCTTTCACGCGTACCTGTTGGGGTTCGCAGGAGTACAAGTCGCCATCGACAAAGCTGCCGTAGTCGCACTGAGTCCTCGTCGTAGGCGGCGTGGCCGTTGTCCACCTGTACCGTACCTCCACGACGACGTACTTAGTAACCCTTTCGGCTTGCTCGGTCGCGTCGCTCCTGGTGTCGGTCTTGGTGGCGCACTTGGTGTCGTAATGGCGGTGGTCGTCCTTGTTCTGCATGTTACGCAGTTCGTTGTCGCACTTGGGCTGTCTGTTACGCAGCTCGGATTCGGGCTGCGCGTTACGCAGCTCGTCCCGTCTTGCAGTGGACGCCACCATGAAGGCGGTCGTAACGATGGTCATGGTTTCGTTGAAATGCGGTTGGAGCCCGCGTCGGATGAGGTAGCCCGCTCTCTTGGGAGCTGCATCTGCTCGTATACCTCTATGCGTGTATGACCTCTGCATAGTTGTCGGTGAGTCTCCTCCGACGTGGACAGGTCTCGTAGCCAAAGTTGCAGATGTCCGGCTTGTAGTTCGACAACTGTTGTAGACGTCCAGATTGTAGTTCGCCCGCGAGGCTACATGCTGCTCGCCGCATCTGCTGGGTCCATGGCCGGCGGCCGGCGGGCGAAGGCCAGCCCCCTCTGGAGGCGCGCGCGCAGCCGGACGCGGCGCCAGGGGACGAGCGCGAGGCCTGGATCCCGCATATCGCCTTCCTCCTCCTCGTCCTCCTCCTCCTGCTCCTTCTCCTCCTTATCCCCCTCATCCTCCTCCTGCTCCTCCTCCTCCTCCTCCTCCCCCTCCTCCTCCCCTCCCCCTCCTCCTCCTCCTCCTCCTCCTCCTCTCTCCTCCTCCTTCTCCTTCCTTTTTTCTGATCCTCTTTCTCCTCCTCCTCCTCCTCCTCCTCCACCTCATCATCATCATCATCATCATCATCATCATCATCATCATCATCATCATCATCATCATCATCATCATCATCATCATCATCATCATCATGGTCATGGTCATCATCATCACCATCATCAGCATCATCATCATCCTCCTCATCATCAGCATCATCATCAATACCATTATCATTATCAGTATCATCATCAGCAGCATCATCATAAGCGTCAACATCATCAGCATCATCATCACCAAAATCAGCAGCATCCTCACCATCTCATCGTCAGCATTATCATCATAATCAGCAGCGTCATCATCAGCATCAGAATCATACTCATCATCTTCAGCATCAAAATCATCACAATGACCATCACGAGCATCATCATCATCATCATCATCATCATCATCATCATCAACTTCATCATCATCAGCAGCATCATCATCAGGAATATCATCATCACCATCAACATCACCAACAGCATCATCATCCCCAGCGTCATCAGCATTCTCATCAGCAGCATCATCATCTCACCGTCAGCATCATAATCAGCATCAGCATCATCATCATCAGAATCAACTTAATCATCGCCATGACCGTTACCATCACCAGCATCATCATCAGCAGCATCATCAGCATGATCATCAGCAGCAACAGCATCATCATCATCATCATCATCAGCAGCAGCAGCAGCATCAGCATCATGATCATCATCAGCATCATCAGCACCTCATCACCAGCATCATCCTCATCAGCAGCAGCATGGAAATCATATTGATTATCTGAATCATCACCATCACCACCACCATCACCAGCATCAGTATCATCATCGTCAACATCATCATCAACATCATCATCACCATCAAATTCATATTGATCATCTCATCACCACCATCGCCACCACCATCACCAGCGTCATCATCATCATCACCAGCAACATCATCATCACCGTCACCATGCCATGACCTTCATCATCAGCAGCATCATCCTCATCCTCAACATCATCATCATAAATATTATTACCATCATCACCAACATCATCATCACCATCACCATCACCACCATAATCATCATCAGTACCATCATCAGCATCTGCATCATCATCCTCAGCAGCAGCAACACTATCACCATCACCAGCATCAGCATCATAATGATGATCAGCAACAGCATCATCACCATCAGCAGCATCACTATCATCATCAGTAGCATCTTCATCATCCTCAGCAACATCATCATCATCAGAATCCTCAACATCATCGTCATCATCATAATCATCACCATCATCGTCATAATCAGCTTCAGCATCTTCATCATCACCATCACCATCACCAGCACCATCATCATCACCATCATAATCAGCATCACCATCACCATCATCATCACCATCACCATCACCATAATCAGCAGCATCATCATCCTCAGTATCCTCAACATCATCACCATCATCATCATGATCATCAACATTATCATCAGCATCATCATCATCAGCATCATCACCATCACCATCACCATCATTATCACCATCGCCATCATCCTCGTCTGCATCATCATGATTACCATCATCATCAGCATCATCTTCATCAGCATCATCATCAGCAGCAGCACCATCAGCAGCATCATCATTATTATCCATCATCAGCAGCAGCATCATCCTCCTCAGCATCACCATCATCGTCATCATAATCATCACCACCACCACCATCATCATCATCATCAGCATCATCAGCAGTAGCATCGTCATCGCTCCACCTTTCTCTCCGCTCCCCGCTACTCGCTCCTCCTCCCGGGGGGGAGCCCACAAATTGAGCGCCGGCTGCCCACGCGGGCGCAGGCACTCGGGCGGCCCTGCCGCCCTCAGGCGGCCAGCTGGACCCGGCTGCTGAACAGGCGCCTCAGTGCCGCGGCATCGCCAGCCGCGGCAAACCTTCGGACAAGCAGCCACATGTGAACCCTACCACCGCAGTGAGGGGGGAAAAACGGTGCAAGATAAACTGTCCAGCCGCCCTGGGGCAGGCGTCCGCGAGGGCGGAATGTTCTACCGCTCTTCGCTCGCGAAAAGCCAGACTTCTGAAAAGCCAGCTCGGGCTTGTCACTTGAGGGATGTCTGCAGCCAGGAGGACCCCTGCGGGGGGATTCCGAGACTCCTGCGTCGACTGGACCCGTGGGGGTGGGGTTCACAAGTGATCGCAGATCGGGGGAAGGACGAGCGCCCCCCTGGGCCAGGCACGCCTCGAGCGGGCGCGCGCTCTGCGCTGAAAGGGAGCCAGCCTCCACCTCTGCAGGCTTCGAAGGAGGGCGACACGATGAGGAGGAGGAGGAGGAGGAGGAGGAGGAGGAGGAGGAGGAGGAGGAGGAGGAGGAGGAGGAGGGGGAGGGGGAGGAGGAGGAGGGGGAGGAGGAGGAGGAGGGGGAGGAGGAGGAGGGGGAGGGGGAGGAGGGGGAGGGGGGAGGAGGTGGGGAAACACACCGACAGGCCCGTTCTTGGATTGAGCCGCGCAGTCGGAAACGGATCGCAGGCGGATCGCCTCGCGCCCGAGTCGATCCGCGGGGTCGCCTCGGGATCGGACCGCTTGGGGCCGCGGATGGGCCTCGGCCCCTGCAGGGACGGATAAGGGCATCGGCTCGTGCGGGAGCGGATCGGAAGGAAATCGGTCGAGGTCTGGGGATTGGATCGAATCGGACCGTGGGCACGCGACAACATGGCTGGTCCGCAGCGTGAGATGGAGGGGCGACTTACCGTCGTCGCACGCGCCCGCATGCAGTATTCTCTGAATGAGCTTTGGAACAAGCATGAAGTATGAGCACCCTAGACAAGCCTATGAAATCAACCATTGGGCGACGACCTACTTCAGAAACCCAACCCAACCCCGACCGTGGGCAGCCAAAACCGATGCCGATGCCCATCATCACTTGGTAAGGACTGTCACCTACCAGGGAGGGAGGGGCCCGAGGGCTTCCCAGGCGAGACCCCCCGCCAGACCCCCCCCGACCCCCCGCACCCCCCCCCAGGCCGCCCCTCGAGACGCCTAAAGCCAATTTGTCCCCCCCCTCTTTCCTGCCCCTGCCCTCCCCCCAGACCCCCCCGAGAGACGCCCAAAACGGATTCCCCCCCCCCTTCCCAACCCCGGCCCCCAGCACCACCATAGTCATTCTTCGCTATCGCCTTTTGGGGCCTCTTGGGAGGTCCTCGTCGTCACGGCGGGTCTCGATCCCGAATTCTGGCCAGAGCGCACTCCTTGAGAGGTTCGGGACAGCAGCGGCATTCAAGGTGCGAGAACATTTGCACTGGGGAGATTGGCTCAGGATCCGTTCCTAGAATTCCCGAGTTTCTAGCGGCCCTCGGCCACTCGTACCACGCCATCCGTCTTTGCCCTCGCGGGGCGACAGGAAACCCTGGAAATCTTGGAACGTACACTTCCCATGACTCCCTGCTCCTGCTCCTCTGCGGATTGGGTACCGGCATCGTGCCCCCCCCGCCGAGCCTCGCAGCGTCTGCCAGGAAGTCTCGCGAACTGCCCCGCATCTGCCGCGCCTCGCCAGGAGCGCCCTCCTCCGGACTTCGCGGACTTCGTGGTCGTCGACGTTACCGTCGCAGGTGTGGTCGTCGCCGCCGCCGCTGTCCGTCGTCGCCGCTGTCGTCGTCGTCGTCGTCGTCGTCGTCGTCGTCGTCGTGGTCGTCGTCGTCGTCGTTGTCGTCGTCGTCGTCGTCGTCGTCGTCGTCGTCGTCGTCGTCGCTGTCGTCCAGGCAGCCAGTCGCCTCGTCGTCGTCGTCGTCGTCGCTCTCGTCGGCGTTGTCGTCTTCGTGGTCGTCGTCGTCGCCATCGTCGTCGTCCACCCTGCCAGTCGCCTCGTCGTCGTCGTCGTTCTCCTTCTCCCGCCCGCGCTCGAACTCCGCGGACTTCCCCAGCGCGTCCCGCAGCACGCCCTCCGGCAGGCCCGCCAGCCGGGCGACGTGGTGGCCGTGGGAGGCGGGGCAGAGGCCAGGCAGGAACTTGTAGAGGAACGTCATGTCCTGCGACCCCTCGTCCACCTTTGGACGCCTCCTAGATGGGCTCGAAGTACGAAGATAGGGGTCGAAGAATCGCGCCGCATCGCCGATGCATCGGCGATGCATCGGCGACGTCGGCGGTGCACCGACGACGCCAGCGCGGGAAAACCGGGCTCCACATCGAGCCGCATCGGCGACGCATCGGCGAGGCGGCCCGATCCTCCGACCGCATCTCCTCGGACCCCATCTGCGAGGCCTGGAACCTTAGAGAACAGGACAACAGCCAGGACAGTGCTGGATTCCGAGCAAACTGTTTGAGGGCCTTCAGGGCCGCCCGAGCGCTGACCTGACTGGTCAGCCGTGGAAGTGCCGCCGCAGGGCCACGATCAATCAAGTCGGTGCTCGGGCATCCCAGGTACAACCCTCAAAGACTCGGCCGAACCGAACGCTGACCAGACTCTGTTCTGATCCCAACACCTCCGCGGACATGTGGAAGGGGGCGATGCCCTCGCGCGCCGCCAGGGGACTCTCCGTATCCACGGTTTCTGCTCCTCCTCCTCCTCCTCCTTCTCCTCCTCCTTGTCCTCCTCATCTCCTCATCATCATCAACATATCATCATCATCACCACCACCACCACCATCATCATATCACCATCATCATCATCATCATCATCATCATCATCCTCATCATCCTCATCATCCTCATCATCCTCATCATCCTCATCCTCATCCTCATCATCATCAGCAGCATCATCATCAGCAGCAGCATCATCAGCATCAGCATCATCATCATCAGCATCATCATCAGCAGCATCATCATCTTCATCATCAACATCATCATCATCCGCAGCAGCATCATGATCATCATCATCATCATCATCATCAGCAGCAGCAGCAGCAGCAGCAGCAGCAGCAGCAGTATCATCATCAGCATCATCATCATCCATCTCCTCTTCCTCCTCCTCCTCCTCCTCCTTCTCCTCCTCCTCCTCCTCCTCCTCCTCCTCCTCCTCCTGTGCTTGCCCTGGGCCCTCCCCGCCCCCGCCCGCGGGGAGCGGGCAGAGGTGCACGGGTGTCCACCACTCCTCAGGGTGCCCGGGCACGACGGGGCATGACCCCGAGGCGGCGGATAGGCGCAGCTTGTCCCGAGCGCGCCCAAGTAAACAAAGCTGGCACCGCGGCAAACCCACGGCAACGTCTGCGCCCGAGGCGGGGTCCACCCTGGCAGCCGCTGTCTCAGAGACGGGAGGCCACGGGTCGGAGCAAAACGGCGCGGCGAAGAATCTGCTCTGGCGGCGGGCCTTGCGCTGCACTGCCTCCCGCGAGACGGGATGGTAGTGCGTGGCGAAGAGCGCGCAGCACGCCACGCGCTCCGACAGCTCCTCCAGCACCGCGGAGGCAATGGCCGCGCCGTCGAAGGTCGACGTGCCGCGGCCCAGCTCGTCGAGAACGGCCAGGGAGCGCCTGCTCGCGTGGGCCAGAACAGCCGCGGTCTCCTCGGGGGTGGGCAGGACCCCGTCTCGCAAAACATCCTAGAATCGGGGAGACGTAAGACTCGGGTACGGGGGACTCGGGTTGGCCCGACGGGGCCATCATACAAATGACGAGGCCCAATCTGAAATCTGACGCGACCTCCCGCTGGCGCAATCTGAAATCTGAAATCTGGCGCAACGCCCTCTCGAGAACCGCACACGTGGCAACTCGCCAAGATCGAGCCGGCAGGGTAGCGGCTCCGTCAGCCTCCGCTCTCCTCCAGCTCCGTGAGCAGCGTGCTCTTGCCCTCCAGCAGCGCGTCGTAGGACCCGATCCTCGTGAAGATGCGGTCCATCGGGCTGAGTCGGCACGTGGCCGCGTTCACGCGGCAGCCGATCTGCGCCATGACGACGGCGATGCACGTCTGCCTCAGCACCGTGGACTTGCCGCCCATGTTGGGGCCCGTCACGACCAGGCAGCCGGGCACGCCCCTCGCGTTCAGGAGGGTGTCGTTGGGCACGAAGGAGCTGCCCATCTTCGCTGCCACAACGGGGTGTCTGCACTCCACCAGCTCGAGCGTCCCTGTGGCGGCGGGGTCGCTGATTTCCACAATGTCCGGCTGGCAGGTGCTCCCATGCAGGCCCGCCGAGGCCTTTGCCAGGGACAGCATGGCATCCAGCTCCGCCAGCAGGCGGAAGGCCGCGCGGAACTGCGCCTGATAGGCATGGAACTGCTGGAAGAGCTTGCACAGGAAAGGAAATATGCAGTCCTCTCGCGCGTCCTCGGCGTGCTCCATCTCTTGCACGAACTGCTTTATCCGGTCGGTCTGGAAGCGCACCTTGCTCTTGTTGCGGAAGGTCACGTCCACGCCTGAGAGCAGCGCCTCCGGCAGCGCCCCCTCCTCGACCTCCACCTCGTAGCGGTAGGTCTGGCGGTGGAAGAACTCGAAACTTACCTTCGGGTGCTTCGACTGAATCCCACGGAGCTCTTTGTGCAGCAACGCCTCCTTTTCTTTGATCTTCGCGGTGGCGGCATCATACTCGGCGTCTGCCCCTGGGGCAGGCCGGCACTTCATCTTGCCGGTCTTCGGGTCAGGCCCCTCGACCATGCTGTTCCTCAGGCGCGTGATGACCTCTTGAAGATCTGGGAAGCTGCCGCCATCAGCCCGGGTCCTCGCAATCTGACTCAAGCGCTCCGGCAGCTGCACGCCATTCGCAGGAAGCCGTTTCGCAAGCATCTGGATTCCCTGCTCGTACGCGTCAAGCAGAGCCATGAAGTCCCCGAGGCGCTTGGCGGTCGTGTCCTCGTACATCACCGCGTGGCGGGAGGACTGCGCGGCGAAGCCCCAGACGCGCGAGGTGGCTCGCTCCAGGTCGTGATGCCTCTGGGCCTGGCTGCCGGCCATTCTCTTGAGGTCGGCCCGCAGCTGGTCAGCGAGGCCGGGTTGCGCGATCAGGAACCCCACGACGGAGGACCTCTGAAGGGGCCCTGGGACACACAAATCCCACCAGCCCTGTGGACGTAGGTGGTTTAGAGAGTTTCCTCTTCCACCCCTCCTTCTTCCCCTTCGGGGAGGGGTTTATCACTGTTCCCTATGAATAAACACCCCCTCCCCCAGGCGACTGGGGGCCAACCAGGGACCATGACGACCCCCCCACACAATCCCTTGCAAAAAACAATACAAAACACACTCTGCCTCCAAATTCGAAACATGCGCAGCCAACCCGATGCGCCCCCCCCCCACCATCCCTGTCAAAAAACAATACAGAGTACACTTGGCGGAGGCGGCGGCGGCTGCGGCGGCGGCGGCTGCGGCGGCGGCGGCGGCGACGGCGGCTGCGGCGGCTGCGGCGGTGGCGGCGGCGGCGGCGGCGGTGGCGGCGGTGGCGGCGGCGGCGTTGGCGGTAGTGGCAGCGGCTGCGGCGGCGGCGGCGGCAGCGGGGCGGCGGCGGCGACGGCGCCGGCGCCGGCGGCGGCGGCGGAGGCGGCGGTGGCGGCGGCGGATTGGCCCCCTACCCATCCAAAGACGACTGCTGAATATGCTGAGGCTCGGGCCAGACTCGGGTGCTACGTATGTGTTGGGAGGGCGGGTGGGAGTGAGCGAGACGGCTTGCGGGCGGGGGGGGTGTCTTGACCCCTCCCCCTACCCCCTCCCCTGGACCTGGACGGGGGGCGCCGCGAGCGGTCAGAGCGTCCAAGATGGCCCAAGACGGCTCCAAGAGCGCTTCGGAGAGCCCAAGATGAGCTCCAAGATGGCTCAAGATTATCGAAGATGCCTCAAGATGGCTCAGAAGATGCTCCAAGATGCCCCAAGACCGCCCCAAGACGGCCCCAAGAAGCCAAATTGCTTTCCAAGGAGGCCTCCATGAGGCAAAAATCCTTCAAAAACCTAAGGAGCACCAATGATTTGTGCTTTCTCGCCGTTTCGCTTCCGATGGCCATCCGAGGCCCAAGATGGCTCCAAAATGGCTCAAGAGAGCCCCAAGAGGGGCCCAAGAGAGCCCCAAGACGGCCCCAAGAGCGCCCAAGAGCGCTCCAAGAGCGCTCCAAGATGAGCCGAAGAGGCGATGTTTGGAGCTTCTAAGGGGGGTCGTAATCGAAGCTCTCCTCCTTTTGACCGATGTCTTCCAAGATGGCCCCAAGAGGCGCCCAGGAGGCGCCAAGAGACCCCGAGAAGGCCCCAAGAGGCGCCCAAGAGGCCCCAAGAGGCCCCCAAGAGGCCCCCGAGAGGCCCCCAAGAGACCCCCAAGATGCCCCAAGAGGCTCCCCGAGGCATCCAAGACGCTCCAAGACGCCTCCGGGACCGCCAAGAGGCTCCCAAGACGCTTTAAGAAGCCTTCAGGACGCTCCCAAGAGACATCCGACCGAGAGGCATCCAGTAGGCCTCTGGCCATTCTGCTCGCCCTTCTCCTCCTCCTCCTCCTCCTCCTCCTCTTCCTTCTCATCCTCCTCCTCCTCATTCTCCTTCTGCTCCTCCTGCTCCTCCGCCTCCTCCTCATCATCCGCCTATTCCTCCTCCTCCTCCTCCTCCTCCTCCTCCTCCTCCTCCTCCTCCTCCTCCTCCTCCCTCCTCCCTCCCCCCGCTCCCCCTCCTCCTCCTTCAGTTTCTCCTCCTCCTCATCCTCCTCCGACTCCTCTTCCATCCTCGCCGTCTTGGATAAGACGGGTTTTCCAGCCCTTGGTTACTCTGTGTGCTCCCTCACTTCCCTGATCACCTCCATTCGCCTGGCCATTCGCTGGTCAAGAACCAGCAACACCAGCAAGCAGCAACAGCAGCAGAAGCAGTACCAGTAGGAGCAAGAGCACCAGCAGCAACACATGCAACCTTCGCCACAAAAGATCTCCCGATTCACCGTTGTTGCCCGCTCGGTTTCACTATGTGCGTCTCTTCTTCCCTTCTTCCGTCAGCTCCCCTACGCATCGTTTGTGGATGGGCTGGTGGGGATACGCGTAGCGTCTAGAATATATATACACAAATAACAGGATCCCCCATGTTTTCCCATATTTTCTGGGTTTTTGTCTGTCCCCCCTTCTTCCCATATTTGTCCATACTTTCCTGGGAATCGACGATGAATTCTGTCTGTGTGTTTTTTCTCCTCCTGAACCTCGTGCGAATCTCTGCGGGATCGACGAGCGGCGCGCACACCCACTGCCTCAGCGTGCGGAAGCCCCCCGGCGTGGCCGTGTGGTCCAGGAAGTGCAGCAGGCTCCCGGAGTACGTGCCCTCCAGCGTCTCCAGCACCTCGAGGGCGCCGAGCGCGGCGGCGTCCAGGACCATGCGGCGCCCAGCGGCGGCCGGTAAGGCCTCGGCCTCCGCTGGGGCACCGCCGAGCCCGAGCGTCCCCAGCACCTCCCACGTGGCGAAGGGCAGCACGCGCTGCGCCAGCAGGGTCTCCTCGAGGTATTTCATGACGCCCGTCGTCGCGACCGCGGCGCTGTCCTGCTGCAGCACCTCCTCGACCGCGGGCGTGAGCTTGTCTGGGTGCGAATGGCGGTAGCGGCCCAGCCTGTCCCGCGCCGCCAGCGCCGAATAGGCCTGGAGCTGGCTCAGCTGCGGCTGGCACGGGAGCCTCTTCACGATCATCTGGACGTCGGCAGGAAGGTTCGCAGCATCGTAAAGGATCTCGCTAGGCTGCACCTGCGCCAGCAGCGTCCGAAGCGCATTCCGGTCAGGACCATCCTGCATCCTCCCGACCTGAATTTGAGACGTCGCACAGTCCAGCATGCACACCGCGAAGGGCAGTTTCTGGCCAGGAGCCACAGTGTTCGGTGACGGTTCGCAGTGCAGGTAGACTGCAAAACGAGCGCTCGCTCCGCCGAGCATCTCCGGGTCTACCAGCATGCCCTTAGTGTACACCTCGCAAGCGTCGCGCTGCACGCAACTCGGGCCATCGCCCTTCTCCCCCTTGCGCTCTTGCTGCTCCTGGACGCGCTCCACCTGCTCCACGACGACGACCTTATACCCGGCATCTACCAAACGCTTGGCGTAGTCGTGCTTGGCCATCTCTGGGAAGCCGACGTGCGGCTTCTTATCGCTGGCCATCCACTTGAGATCGCAAATGTGCTGGGCGACGAAGGCGTCGTAGTAGAAGAGCTCGTAGAACTTCCCTACCTTGAACAGCGCGATCTTGTCGAAGTGGACACTCTTCAGCTTCCAGTACTGCAGCAGCATCGGCGTGCCGTGGCCTTCGGCCTTCTGCTGCGCCGCGTCCGGGATCCAGAGCGTACCCGGATTGTAGGCCGGATCCTCCGGCCGACGACCCTCGAGGTCCCGCAGCTTCTGGGGGGTGAGCCAGGAGGGCCAGGCGTAGTCCTTCAGGGAGGCGGCCAGGAGGTCCGAGCTGGCTGACCGGCCCCGGAAGACTGGCCCGCAGGCGGCATGGAGCCACATCCGCTCAGAATCGATCCCCGGACCCCTCCCGGGGTCCACCTGCTGCACTGCTTATCACCCCGGATATAACTACGTTTCTGACGGTACCCGGGGCCCCGAACACGGCCCGCGGAGGCCGAAACAGATGACAACCTTCCAGAACCCAGAGCCTCGAACCTGCCCGCCCTCCCAGCTGGCTGGGACAAACCCCGGCCCCCGACGTCGTGATTTTTCACAACGTCGACCCCCAGAGGTCTGGACTCCTTCCCCGGGGACCGGCTTCTCATCCTGAGCCGCCTTTGACGGCCCTGGGGCCCGGTGGGGGCCCCCCGGAGGCCGAAAATGACGAAACACCTCCCGTCGTGATTTTTGCACGACGCGAGGAGGTCTGGGAATGCTGGGCCAAGCCTCAGACCCCCCGCCGGCTCCGAAGTCCTTGCCCGCGTCGTGGTGGTGGAAGCACTCCGCGATGAAAGGCGACAGAGTGCCGGCGCCCCCCCTCCGCGACTGCTGGAGCGTGGCACCCAGGTCGCGGGGCGCTCCGTCCTCGGGCGCAGGGGCCGCGGGCGCCGCGGGCGCCGCGGGCGCCGCCGCCGCCAGCAGGGCCTCTCCCCGAGCGTGTTCCACTACTCACAAAGCGCCTACTCCAAGAGATCCAACGGACTGAAAAAATCAAGACAGAGGTTGTTCGTTGTTTTCGGCCTCTGGGGGCCCTCACTGGGCCCCGGGACTATTTAAAAATGACTCAGGATGAAAAAACAGTCCTGGAGAATGGGTCAAGCGGTCCGGGGAGCCCGCATTGAAAAAGTCACAGCATCGGATCTCTGGGCTCGCAAGCGACCGAAAAAAACACGCGCTGCTCGATGCAATGGAGCCTTGTTGCCACAACGCAACGGATCCAGGCCGTTTTGCGAGCGGCTACATACTTTGCGAGTAGCGGAACGCGCTTGTCTAGCCTCGGGCACCTCGGCGTGGGGTGCCTCCGCCTCGCCCGTGCCCATGACGTCGGTCGCCTCGGGCGCGCCGCCCACAGCGGCATCCTCAGAGAGCAGGAAGCCACCCTCACAAGAAGCACCCCGACCAGCGAGGCCGCTCCGAAAACGCACCCAAGGGAGGAATTGAACAGCGCAGGGCTGTTTAGTACTCGCCCTGAGCCTTCTAGTACACGCCCTGGTTCTTCCTCCCTGGAGTCCACGACGTCGGCCGTCTCGGGCGCGCCGCCCGCTGCAGCATCCTAGGAGGGCGCCAAGTCCTGGCCAGGCTCATGCTCGGCCCAGGACCAGTGAACACGGCCTCCTGGCCTGGGCAGGATGGCATGCACGCCGAGCCTGCGCCCAGGATCGGCCCGGCCAGGGGACGGCGTACGGCAGGGTTGGCGCTGGCTTCTGACACCGCGCTGGATCGTTCAATCCTCAACGATCGGCCGTTTCCGAAACGTTAAATCGTTCAACATCGACCGATTCTGGGTCGCCAGCGGCGTTCAACGCTGAACGCCGGCGGCGGGGTCGCCGCCGGTCGACACGACGTGGACCTACCGTAGGTGCTTCATTTGTGCCCTCGGAGATCCTCCCCCTTGGTGCGCCGCCGCCGTTTGAAGGCCTCTGCCTTCGGCGCTGCGGCCGGTGGCGCCGCCGCCCGCTTGAGCTTGTCGCTCGCCGAGGGCGGGGTGGTGTCGCCCGTGGCGTCGGCGGAGCGCGCCTTCGAGGACGGGGTCAGGGTGAAGAAGCGCCCCAGCGGCGCCTGCAGCGCCATCGGCAGCACTCGGGGCACCCCACGCGCTCGGCCGCAGAGCCCCCCCCAGGGCTGACTGGATCCCCTTGGGCAGAAACTGCTGGGACGGAGGCGGAGGGTAGGAGGGGTCCTCCCACTCCGCCCTCCCGCTTCGGAGGTCCTCCACAGCAATGTATGCTGCCCCCCACGGGAAGACCCCCCTGAGCCCCTGCAAGGATCGCCAAAGACCCCCGAAGCTCCACAGCGAGGGAGGCGAGGGCAGAAGGTGAGTGGATGAGAAAGGAGTGGGGGGAGGGAGGGGTGAATGACGGGACAGGATGGAAAGGAAAGGAAGGCATCCTCACTAAGTTTTCTCAGAGCCTCCTGATGAGCTCTTGCACTGTCGCTCTGGCTCATATCCGTCCTCTACACAAGGGCACTGGTGGACTTCTTGGCCAGCGCCTCGTCACCTACGTCCATGAGGACATAACTACTGGGGGCGCGGAACATCCCGACGTTACCCGATCTCGCGCGCGCGGGCGGGCAGAAGAGGACGCGCCGGGGGGGCAGAGGCGGGAACGCAGCGGAAGGGTTTGAGGCTAGCTGGCGGCGGCGCCCACGGCGACGAGCCGAGGGGAGACGCCACCGCATCCCGACCGCTCGGTGTAACGAAGGGCAGGGCACCAGTCGCCGAGTATTTTGTCCCCCCTCAGAGCGGGCAGTCCTTCGTGCGCGCGACAGGAGTGACGAATCAACGGGCCATCAGCGGAAACGACTGCAGGACTTCGCCTTCTTTGAACCCACATCGCTTCCGTGAGTATGCCCCCGACTCAGGTGCGGCATTCGCAGCGTGGGCCAAACCATATAGCCGATTACAAGGACTGAGGCGAACTCCCAAGATGGACATGCTCGCGAAAGCACGTGCAGATAGGTGGAAAAGGCTGGGCACTAGGATCCCCCTGTGTTCAAGTGATGATTAATTCTGCGCGTCCTCACGATGGCGCCCAGAGCGAATGGGCCGTGACGGTCTATGTAACAGAAGAGCGGGGCAATCTCGTATAGCAACCAATCTCTGGCGTCCTATCCCTCCCAACCGTCTTCTCCCATTGCGCTAAATACTTGCACATCCGCCAGGCTGGGGTGTCCCATGGTGCGATGTGCAAACGGAAGGGGGCTTTGTACATTGCAGGAAGAGGACGAGGAGGTGGCGGATGAGCATGAGGACTGGCAGGAGGAAGAGCAGGAAGAAGAGGAAGGAGGAGGCGGATGATCAGCAGCAGCAGCAGCAGCAGCAGCAGCCGGAGCAGGAGAAGGAGCAGCAGCAGGAGCAGGAGGAGTAGCAGCAGAAGGAGCAGGAGGGCAAGGGCAAAGCGGAGGAAGGAATAACGGGGCGGCAACGATGAGGCACGAAGCGGATCCAGAGATAAGGCCGACGCTGGGGCGAGAGCGCACATCTGAACGACGGGAGCGAATCGCCGACCCTGCGGCCAACGCTGGAGCGGGAGAGCCACTGCGGAAGGAATGAGAGCAGCCCGCGACTGGAGCAACAACCAAGCACACAAATCTAGAAGCCACCTCAACGGGGGCGGCGTGCGGGAGGAGGGCGCCCCCCCGCACGAGGAGGCGCCCCAGGGGAGGGAAGCACTCGCGCAGGGGGTGTCTTCAAGCTGTGGCCACACCTGCAGACGTAGGACGTCCCCCCCCCCCCGCCTCCCCCACACATGATCCTACAGCACGGCGTCCGCCTGCGGCGGGGCACGTCATGGCCCCACACACAGGCTCCGTTTCGTAATCAAGTGTTCAGTCTCACTCAACCCGTTGCTGTCACATGTACTCCTCCCTCTGGGGAGACGTACCCCAAGTCTTCTGGCAGCAGAGAGAACGAAAGAACTCACTCAACGCCCTCTGAACGTTGAACGGCGACGTTTCATCACGACCGCGAGCGGGCTCTGCGCTCAGGGGCACTCTGCCGCGTCTCAGTATCACATGAGGACGTGCTCACTCAGAACTCGAACCACATGCGCACCGTGAGAGAATGGTCAAAACTATTAGCAATGCGGTAGCTTCGTGTGACTGTAGCGAGCAGGGGGGAGGCGGGAGGGGGATAAAGGGGGGAATCGGGAGCGCGAGGGTAAGGGCAACGATAGGGGGGACTGGCTCAGGGGGGGGACATCGACCTGGAATCGGCGATACACTGCCGATGGATCGGCGATAGGCCCCCGATGGCGAATCGGCACGGCCCAGGGCGGGGTGGGCCTATCGGGCTCCTGTCGGCGATGATTGGGCGATCGATGCGTCCCCCCTGAGCATACCGTCCCTTGACGTTGCTCCTTGGTTGTCGGGTCAGGACTCGGCTCTCCAGCGGACGTTCGGGACGATGTGGGCACCCATGGAACGCTCTCGGCGAGGCGCAGACGCTGGAAGGCATCCCGAGGCTGGAAAGCCGCCGAGAACCAATGAGAACCTTCGAAAACCTCGAACCGATATAAACGTTTAAGTCGGGCCTGTCCCCCTACCGGCCGATTCTGGACGAAAAATTAAAAATGCCAGCAAACAAATACCCTGAAAATGCTCAAAAATGGTCACAAAATAATCCCCTGACTATTTTTTGACTATTTTTGAATACTCTCCCTGTAGAGGGACAGGCCCGACATAAATAAACTTCCGAAAACGTCCGTTGCCCCTTGAGGGGGACGCGGTGTGCGCCCCCCCCGCGCCCGCGGGCACGCTCGCCCAGCGGATGAGCGGCCGCATCCCAACCCTACCCTTAGGTCGGGCCTGTCCCCCTACAGGGAAATCGTAGACGAATAATAAAAAATGCCCCCAAAAAAAGCTCAAAAGAGGTCCTAAAATATTAAAAAGAAAATCACCATACTATTTTTTAACTATTTTTGAATATTCCCCCTGTAGAGGGACAGGCCCGACTAAACCCCACCCCCACCAGCCATCGAGAATCGATAGAAGGCGGGGGTGGGGCTCGGACTCCCCCACGTGTTCGACCAACTCCGAACCCTACCCCCCCTGGCCATCGAGTTGCCCGAATCGTTGATCGGCGAGGGAACGAGCAATGACATAAACACACACCTTTGCCGGTCCGCGCGATCTTCTTGGATCGGCGCTGGAGGCGCCGCCAGGGGGCCCCAGCGCCGATCCGAGAAATTCGAGCGGACCTTGGAGCATGTAATGTTAGGTCGGGCATGTCCTCCTACAGGCGGATGTTTCAGGAAAAACAACAAACATCCAAACAATATTCAAAAACAATCAAAATTCCGCCGACCCTGTCGGCGTGTGGGAGAAGCTTTTCCGTCTTCCCCACAGCATCATCGCCTCTTCTGCTTTCCGAGGGCTCCCTACACAAATATACACAAAAAATAAACAACGTCGTCCTTCAGTCGAAGGGACGCCCCTTCCCTTGATCCCTTCCCCGACGGGGGAGGGTTCCCAGGGCAACTCCCGGGGGGGGTCCCGGGGCAACTCCGGGGGTGGGTCCCCCCTCGGATACGCAGCCCCCCGCCTCTCATCCTCCTGCGTCCTGGGGCCCCGTTGGCCCTCCGGGGCCGTCTGCGGGCTCTTTCAGCCTATCTTAAGGCTCCTTGAAGACCTTTCGCCATTTTTAGACTCTCTTGGCAGCCTCTGGCGGCACTCTTGACAGCCTCTGCGGGCGCTTTTGGACCTCGCTTGACGACGTCTTGGAACCCTCTCGGGCCACTTGAGGACGCTCTTTGCCTATCTTGGCACTCTCTGGAGCCGTTCCCGAACCCTGGAGTCTTCGGACGACCTTGCAGGCATCTGGCGCCGTCTTCGAGCCATCTGAGGGCATCTTGGACTCCTCTACCTCCATCATCTTCGGCGTCGCTGCCTACAGGGTCGGCGGCATCGGCCGCAAGGCCTTCGCAACAGTGAAAAATAGTCCCAACAAAAATCGTTGGCGATGTTCTGACTATGTTGGGATATTCCTCCTGTAGAGGGACACGCCCGACTTCATACTTGTTCCCCGATGATCCCGCCCGCAGCTCCCTCTCCCCCTGTCCGCGCTCTTTCCGCTCCCCGCTGTGCCCCCCTTGGGGCCCCGTGGCGCCCCTCGGCTGCCACCGCCCGCGGCATGGTCGCCGCGGCGAGGGGAGGAGGAGGAGGAGGAGGAGGAGGAGGAGGAGGAGGAGGAGGAGGATGAGGAGGAGAAGGAGAAGGAGGAGGAGGAGGAGGAGGAGGAGGAGAAAGAGGAAGAGCAGGAGAAGTAGGTGGAGGAAGAGAAGGAGGAGGAGGAGGAGGAGGAGGAGGAAGAGGAGGAGGAGGAGAAGGAGGACGAGGAGGAGGAGGAAGAGGAAGAGCAGGAGAAGTAGGTGGAGGAAGAGAAGGAGGAGGAGGAGGAGGAGGAGGAGGAGGAGAGCCGCTGCGACCGAAAAGTTCCTCGCCGATCGGCGAGGGCAGGGTTCGGATGTCGCCGCCGAGCGGAGGCCCGCCTGGCGAGCCGCCGCGGGCCACCAGGAGCGCAGCGGGCGCGGCGAGCACCAGGGGCGCGAGCCGCAGCGCCGCGGGGGGGGAACCCGGCGCGGAGAGCGGGTCCTGCCCGCGGGAGGAGCAGGGCGCTCCGCCAGCGCAGGGCGACAGCGACGACGACGGCGGCGACGACGACGACGACGACGACGACGACGACGACGACGACGACGACGGCGGCGACGACGACGACGACGACAACGACGACGACGACGACGACGACGACGGCGACGACGGCGGCGACGACGACGACGGCGACGACGATCGCGGCGACGGCGGCGGTGGCGCCACTCCGTCAGCAGACTCCCGCTCCCTGCTGCCTCGTGCCTCCCCTGCCCGTCCTCTGCCCCGTCCGTCTCACCTCCCCTCCCCGTCATGCTGCTCGCTCCCTTTCCCTCACCAGCCCGCCCCCGCCTTGTCGCCCCTCACCTCCACGCCTCCGTCTCCCCTTCCCCGCCCCTCCCGCTCCGCTCAGTAGCTCCCAAACCTGGGCGGGACCCGAAGTCCAGCCAGAGGGGACCGGCAGACCCCCTTGTCCCAGACCCCCT